CTTAGTTTCCTGTGACAGCAAACAGAGCAGGGGACACACACACACACAGTGTAATAAAAACACCAATAAATGAATCTCAGAGCAAGTCTGCAACACACAAGTATGCTAAGTTGTGAAAGACTGCTCTTTTTTATTTTAAAGAGAAAAAAACAAACACATAACAAACAAACAGACATAAACAAAACAACACTAGAACAATAGAAGCAATACAGAATTTCAGACAAGGTGATAGGAAATTAACAATGGTTGTTATATTGCATGTTGTTATCTTCAAATTGGTTACCCAGTTAAACAAATATAGGCACTTAAGATTGATCAAGCAATTTTTTTTTTTAATCTTTTTGAGACAGGGTCTCACTATGCAGTTCAGGCTGCCCTTGAGCTCACTTTGTAGCCCAGGCTGGCCTCGAACTCCCAAGGATCCTCCTGCCTCAACCTCCCAAGTGCTGGGATTACAGTGGTGTGCCACCACACCTGGCTGATCAAGCAATTAAACATTAATTGTTCTTTCCATTCTTATTCAAAAATCTCTTTATTCTGGATATGGTGACCCAAGGCTGTAATCCCAGCTACTTCAGAGGCTGAGGCAGGAGGATCTGAGTTGAACTCCAGCCTAAATAAATGCCTTCCCAACCAAAATCTTAAATAATTAAGTACATAAATAAATACAAAAATAAATGACTGGGCATGTAATTCAGTGGTAAAATGTCCCTGGGTACTGAAATTAAACAAAAACCTCTCTTAAATTTTGTCTCATAAGATTGATCAAACAATTACACATTAAAAGTTCCTTTCAATAAACCAACAGATATTAGTAGTACAATTATCCTAGCTGTCCTGTGTATACATATACATATTTTTTCTCTTCTTTATTTTTCCTCTCACCTACTTTATCACAGTTTCTCCTTCACATTTTAGCAGTTTCTTTTCCCTTTCACAATATCTATTGTACCCTTCAGATTTTGTTTACTCTTTTAGGTTCTTATAGTAGGGAGGAAATATAATATTTACATATGTGAGTCTGATTTATTTCACTTATGAGTATGTCTCTAGTTGCATCCATTTACCTTAAAAGCCTCTAGCTTATCATTCTTTATAGCTGAGTAATACTCCATTGTGTAACAATACCACATCTTATCCACTCCTCATTTGATGGCCATGTAGCAACCATTGTTAATTCCTATCATTTTGTTTTGAGGTCACCTATCATTTTTGTTGCTTTTGTGTTATTTTGTTTTGTCTTCATTGTGGTTTTGTTAGGTTATTTTCTCTTAAAAATAAAAAAAAGGAAACACTTTTTCTAGAATCTAAAGAAACATACAAATAGAAGAAAAGAGTCTTTAAAAATAAAAATTGCTAAAAACTAGAAAAAATTTGTCTTGTGATATCACATTGCATATTTTAAGTATACCCAGTGAAATTTATTTTGAAAAGAAAAATTGAAAAATCTATACAACTTCCATTACTACAATGCTCAATGATACTTATTCATCTCAATTAAAGTAATTTAATTTCTATAGATTTAAATGAGTTTATAGAGAAATAGAAACAATAGTTTAGCATTGTTTAGTTGTGCATGATTTCTGTCTTATTAATTTTCTTACCGCTGAGACTCAATACCTCAGTTCCTACAATTTAAAGAAGGAAAGGCTTGGAGGATTTGTCCACTGATTTTAAGGCAAGATAGCAGGGCAGAGAGGAAGAACAGAAAAGAAAGAGCTCATGGCGCAGCAGCTGAAGCAGAAAGGGATAAGAAAGAGGAAGAACTTACATTCTAACACCAACCCTCACCCTAACCCTAGGTCATGCCTCCATGACCCACTTCTTCCCACCACACTCCACCTCTCAACATCACACCCAGCTCTAAACCCATCAGTGGAGTAATCTAGTGATGAATATGAAACACCTGTGACCCAGCCACCTCCCAAAAGCCCCAACTATGAAAATATGAGGCTTTGGGGAGACACCTAGATATAAACCATAATAATTTCTGTTGGGAAAATGCAAGGTCAAGGGGAGTAAACTTTTTGCTATTCCTTCAAACTTGGGTCACAGTTCACCTTCTTCTTTCCTGGCCTTTTCTCTGTTATGGCTTATGTTTAGATGTCCCCCAAAGTCTCATGTGGTCATAGGTGGTGCTTTTTCAATGGTGGCTGAATCTTGAGTGTATGATTGATTCATCATGCAATGCTAGGTGTAAGGGTATTAGGATTAAGGATGGATGATTACTAAATCAGTTTACTAATTGGTTTGGCACTGCCCTAGTCCTGGTAACCTGGATACAATATAAGGGACAAAAAGATGCTATTCTTGTCTCTTGCTTGCTTTGCTGCTCTCTGACCACCATGAGCTGTTTCTCCTCTGTGATATCTGTCTGCCATGCCACCCAGCCAGCTGATTACGGAATGAAAGCTCTACGAACTGTGAGCTAAATAAACATTTCCCCCTTTAACTTTGGGTGTCAGGTATTTTGTCTCAGCAATGAAAAAAGTAACTAATACACTCCCTATACTTCACTGATCTCTAATCTAAGTAATGTTCCTTTTCTTTGCAACCTGGAATTGGAAAGTACTTGGAGTATAATACTTATCACAATTTTAACACTTTATTGATTTGTCTATTCCTTCAACACAAGCCTTTTGAGAGTAATAATGATGTGTATGTTCATACATGTGTGTGTTATTGTATCTCTATCACCAGTAACTAACTATAACCAATTCAGAGTCAGTGAGTACATAATTTCAAAAGGATGAATACATAAACAAACACTGTACATAGTGAAATGGAGCCAATGTGTTTTATAACACTTTGGATATGGAAAGATGGGACCTAGAGAGTTAAAGTCACATGTGATGTGTTTAGCTTTGGTGATTAGAAATAGAGGTGTTGATATGTAAATAACAGAGAACAAGATAAGGCTTGGCTTTAAATAAAAAAGCTTGTGAGATTCAAACAGATACTCAAAAATGTGAAACTGGCCTCAGAACAGATGCCAACCTTGCTTATAATGAACACTCCGAGGAGGTGGAGATGTCAGACTTTAAAAATTTGGAAGTCATCTTTACAAAAGAGTTCACAGAGGAGTCACAGTGTAACATCTTGGGTTTTTTTTTCTGCAGATGACCACAACAGTGCTTCTTCCTATCCCACACACTCTTCTACTATTTTACTTCTAGTGCTCTATCAGGAGGTGGAGTCTACACCCTGCCCTTGGACCTGGGTGGGTCCTGGGTTTGCCCCAACCAATGGGGTGTAGCAGAGATGACCCTATGTTACTCAGTCATAAAAGCCTCTTGTACTTCTGCTTCTCTCTCTTCTAGGTTCTGTGTGCTTGGACCAAGCACTGCCCTGTGAGGAAGCTCAAGCACCATTCGATAAGCTCACATGGAGAGGAACTGAGGCTCTGGCTCACATCCCCTCAGCTTTCAGCTAAAAGCAAGTCCCAATGTAGCAGCCACATGACTAAGCCACCTTCGGTGTGGAGCCTTCAGTCCCTTCTTGAGCTGCTCCAGCTGATGCTGCATGGGATACAGGCATCTCATATCCCCCCAACGCCAACCAAATTGCATATCTACTAGCAACACAAATGATGGTTATTGTCTTGGGGTAATCTGTTATGCAGCAATAGCTCACTGGTCCATGAATAGGCTGATGAAAGCATAATGAAATGTGCATTGTACAGACCTCAGTTCAAATCCCTGGTTCTGCTTCTACCCTTAATGTGGCTTGAGGCATGCCAGTTACACTGCCAGAACCTCAATTTTCTTGTACATAAAATTCATCTATCAATATCCATGGTAGATGGCAGTTTTGATTACTGAAGGGATGCTGTATGTCAAATGACTAATGCTGTGGCTAACCTTTCTACTGTTTAATAGGTAATTTGGTGAATTACCTCTAGGTAATGAATGCTCTAGGTACTTTGGTGAATTCTCTGGAGAAATAGTACACTTAGAGAAAAGCAAGTCATTTGGAGACAGACAGGAAAAGAAAAGTGGAAACAAAAGTTTGTGAAGGAATAGTCAGGGAAGGAGGAGGACTGAAGACTGAGGAGTGTCTTGAGAAGGACTGAGTGGAATAAAGGAGAGTAACCCGATGAAGATCAAAGAAGCCAGGAGAGGCACTGACTTGCACAGTGGCGAGGGGATGAGTGACAAGTAATTGTACAGTGCCACCAGAGAAAAGGGCAGAGAGCTGGAAGCCTGAGTGCTGAAGGGTAGAAAGAGAAATGGTATAAAGAAGCAAACAGCTGGTGCTCATTTATGGTTTAATTTCTATGTATGTATGATAGCGTAAGGGACATGAGAATGCCTATAATACCATAAAGTTACATAATCACCTGTTTAAATTTCAACTTATCCATAGAGTGGTCCTATTGTTTTATCTGGAAATGAATTCATGTAGATCTTATAACTCATCACCCACACTCCACTGGTTTTTCCTATGAGCTTAGTTATCATGCTTATTACTGCCTCTATGGACTAGTTTTTCCTATGTGTTTCATATTTACATTTTACTTTCTCATTTCCCAAAAGCCTCGCATTCTGGATCTGGAGTATGTGATTGAATCATAGTGCAATGCTAGTACTAAGCGTGCTAGGATTAAGGGTGTGAATGCCATCTGCCCTAAGGACAGGGAGTCTGTATAATATAATATATACTGGATGGAAACAGTCTTGCTTTAGTTACGTGTAGTTGGTTGTTTGGACTTGCTGGTTTTTGCTGTTTTGCCTGTCATGAACTGTTTCTCCTCTGCGATGCTTCTCTGGCATGCCACCCTACCTCTGAGGCAGCCTCCTCTGAACTGAAACCTCTACAAACTGTAAGAGAAATAAACCTCCGTTCCTTTAACCTTGGGTGTCAGGTAATTTTGTCTCAGCGACAGGAAAAGTAACAGAATTTGGTATCACAGAGGTGGGGTCGCTGCTGTGACTGTACCTCACTGTGTGATTCAGGGCCTTTGGAAGTGGCTTGTGGGAAGAGTTTGGAAAGGTTCAGAGATGCTGTCTGAAAAAGCAGTCCTGCAGTGCCTGAGGGTGTGCTTGATGGGAGACTCTAGTCAGAGCTCAGAAGACCAGAATGCTGACAGAAATGCTGCTGCTAAAAACCAAGCTGAGGAGGTTTCTGCTGGGAAGGACAGCATTGGGAGCCGGACTGCAGACAGTGTGTGTTATGGCTTGACAGAAAGTTTGCGTTTTGCTCCTGTCAAGAGACTTTGCCTGAGACTGGGATTAAGGATGGTGAACTAATTAATATTGCAGAAGACAGTCTAGTGTTAAGGCCATGGCATGGCTTCTGTTGGAGGCTTTTAGCCAGATCTATGTTGAGAATGAAGAGCAAAGAGCCTGGCAGAATAGTTTAAATCATTCTGAGTTTGGCTTGAAAGGAAACACCAGTAACTGCAAAGATGGAGCAGAGGAGATCTTGATCACGGAGAAGGAACAGCAAAATAGAAAAGACGGAAGAGGGGCATTAAGGTGAGAAAGAGTTCATGGCAGACAGAAGACAGCAAAAGCAAGCAAGTCCAAGTAACCAACTACAAATTACTAGCAGCGAGCCTCTTTCTGTCCTTTATATTGTATCCAGGCTACCCGTCCTTAGGACAGATGGTACTCATACCCTTAATTCTAGGACCCTTAGTCCTTGCATTGCACCAAGAATCAGTCATACCCTCTGGATCCAGCCACCTCTGAAAAAACCCCACGTATGACTACATGAGGCTTTGGGGCAACACCTAAATGTAACACATTATTATTATTGTTATTATTATTATTATTATTATTATTTATTTATTTTTTTTTTT